TAATTTTTTTTTCTCTCAATAGCTAAGATCAGGTTCCCCAAGGAGATAGGGGAGTTTGTAAAATCTTTCGAAAATCTGTATATTACCTTGCAGAAGTTGCAAACCCATAGGACTCAAACATATAAATTATCTACTGTGTCTTTAGGAGCAGCCCGATTATGTGAGTCTAATAATTTCATTTGAATGGAAGGGCAAATCATTCCCAGCCCATGGAAATCTAAAAAGTCAACAGGAGAAAACTTCATGTTCAGTAAAAACCACCCATTGTCAAGTGTAACAAAATAGGAGAAAAGTATATGTTAGGACTGAATTTCTGGCTATGAAACATCAGCTGAAGCTGACTTCTTATGATGCAGTTTTGCCTGCAGGATGCATATGGTATCAAGTGTGCAGTGAACTGGAACCTGCCTCACTCATGCTCTCCGAATAAATTCCAACTGTTGCCAGAACTATGTGCACAGCACAGCAAACTACTGCTACACAAGCATGTCAAAGTCAGGCATTATAATCTTTTTTGCCTGAAAGTAATAGATCATCCCAAATACAATTAACACAGCACAGGCTTATTACCAACAAAAGCAAAACACAATTTAGATATTTTTATTCCTAGCACATGGAGCATTCACACAAAGAAAGAACAAAAGTTCTGATTTAAATTTGGTTTAATCACTTCAGCGAAAATTTATTTGCATAACTTGAGAAATCCTTAAATACTCATTGCAGATGTTGGCTTGTAGGACCAGAAATTCACATCCATAATAGTATGTTTCCCTGAAGGTCTATGGTTTAAGTGCCATGACACTGAAGCAGAAATTTACAAAGTGAAATTCTGGTCCTATTGAGGTTGGTAAATGATCTCCCATTGACTTCCATAGGGCCAACATCACTCTTGCTTTAACAAATAATAACCAGAATCACCTTTTAATTTTTTTTTTTTTTTTACTGCAATATACAGTAAGATATTGTATATGTGCTGCATTAAACTTAAGTGGTAAACTTTGGTATCAGGAGACATTTGTGCTTTCAAACAAATACAGAAAGTAGTGAGAGGAAATGCTAGTGACCTTCTAAATTTCCCAAGCAAATCAAACTTTAAACTTTCCTTAAGAACAGTAATTACATTCTTACCCTAAAAAATATCACTGTCCTTAATAACCCTGAAGAGATGTCATCAAAGGGTCACTGACAGAATTTTCCAGGATGGGGAAGTCTACTGCTTCATGACTGTGAGTTGCAGGGGCTCTGATCCACAAGAGTGGAATGATCTGGAGCAGCATTTACAGGCCAAAGTAAATTGGAACGGATTTGTTTTCTCCAATGATTTACTTAACTACCTTTCCAATTAAGCTAGCTATTCAAGTAATCCTAGAAACAATCTCAAGGTCTGAATACTTCATGGCAAAACAGATGTGAGCTCTGAGAGAGAACTGTTTGGGTGCCAGGCTCAGAGGAGAACTGCAGCAGAACCAGGTGTCCATCTCTCTGCTGACAGAGCACGTTACACCAACTAACTTGAATTTTCCAGCCAGGCTCCACTGGGGCTTTAGAACAGATCAAACAGACTTGGTATCACAGATGTTAAGTGGCAGGAATCAAAAGGTGCTGGCAAAGCAACAGACTCTCAGACCTGGAAAAACGGAAGGAAGGGTCAGCGCCAACTGGAGACTCCAATGTGCTTCAGCAGAGCTCAGACTGCTGTACCCTTTCCACAGAAGCACGGCAACTTGTTCTTCATACCTGCTGCACAGACCTCTCTGCTCTGAATGTGCTCCCAAAGCCAACCCAAAACAGACCAACGTAGAGGTACGGTGCAAAGACAGAGCTTCTCAGTGCTGGACCGGCTGTGAACATACACAACTAGGAATGCATGTTTTGTTACACTGCCAGGTGTCAGTTTCTGCAATGCTAAATGATTGCTGAAAACAATGGCTTCCTAAAAGTTAAGCATCAATAAAAAATGAAATTAGCAAGTTAACATCTCAAGAAATAAATGGTGATGAGCCCTGCCTATGAGGGATGTTGGCTGCTGAGGCCTGGCAGAGCTAGGAGACAACACTGCTTCAGTTCAAGAATTCTCTACTCACTGTCAGTTACATATTTTTTCTTGTTTAAAAATGACATTACCCTGGCAATAGCAGAAAATCAGTTTCTTTAAACTCCCAGAGTTAAAGCCCTGCTTCTTGTATGGACTCAGCTCATCCACATAAATACTACTACTTTATTTTCCTCTCTCCTCCTTAAAAAAAGAAAAAAAAAAAATCAAACTCCAACTGTAAATATGGAGACATGCAAGCCTTCCAAGGCAAGGAAAGAAAACAAAATTTATGAGATAATGAGAAATTCAGTCTTACAGGTACCAAGCATCAGCAGAGGATGACACAATGCATGTGAGCTTTCCTTCTCTACCTTGCACCCTGTTTCAGTCCTCCTATATGAGATGGGCATGGGCAGCCCTAGCAAATGGCATTTTCTAGAAAATCCAAGGAACTCGGGGCACAGATCCTTTAGTGCAAGTGAGAACATGCAGAAAACACACAGAAAATGTGTTACACTTCAGCATATGCACCCAGGAGAGATGCTGGGTTGTGTGATGCTGCACAGAGCAGAAAGCATGTGGAAAGAGGATCCCAGAGACATCAGGTGAAAGGGATCCCTGCAGATCCACAGTCCCACCTCCCACTCAGAGCAGGACCATCACCAACACCAGAACCATCCACTCCCTGGAACTCCTAACTGGATGATTCCTGTTCTTTTGTGTATGTCTGTTAACAGTTTATTAAATGCTTGGGAGTGTCTGCATGGCAAACAGCCAGAAAGGAAAACAAAACCTATCATCTCCAGGCCTTGCCTTCTAACTTGGACAAGCCAGCAAGCATTGGACAAGCCAGCAAGCCAGTTCACTCGTGAGTGAACTGTCCCTGAGGACAGTAACACTGAGGAGGAAATCAGTCCCCACTCTCAGGTCCTAATCATCAGTGAAAAGGGAACTGTGGTCCAAAGAAAATGAAGTCAGCAGTCCTCAGGAGAAGGTGAAAGGGCACCTCCCTGGCTGGGGCCCTGCCGATAGCACCCCTTGGCTCTGCAGGCCTCCTTTCTTCTGCACTTACAAAAGAATCCAAGCAAGTCATTTAAAAGTGCCTCAGGGCAGAGCTTGTCACTAGATCAGGTTTGCCCTGTTAAAATAATAAATGAAGTAATGAATAAAACTGCCTTCAATTTGAGGACGTTTCATTCATAAAACAGAAATACCAACAGCTTTGCTACCAAATAAACTTCATAGATGGTTTAAAAAAAGTCCCCACACCTCTCCTTGCAACAAAGCAGAGCCAAGCAGTGGGGGTTCTGTGGCACAAGACACATTCTGTTTCCAAGGACAGCTCTCCAAGTCGAAATGAGAGCTGACAACTTCCAGGTCATTAATCTGACAGTGTAAACAGAACCCATGGACCAGTACATGCATTCAGGAGACTGGAGCAACAGCCGCAAGTGAAGAACTAGGCAAACACAATTCTGCTTTCTGTTTGGAGTTTACAGAAAAACTTTTATAATCAATTCTCTACTCCCTTCTACTCATCCTCAGGATATGTGGAGCCTGGTGTCAGCTATATTTGTGTTGCTAGCTGAAACAACAGCAGAACGTGCCAAGTGTTTAATAACAAAATTCCAGCCTCGTGACACAACCCAGTAATCCCAAGACTGGAAACTAACCTCATATTTCTACTCAGCATAAAAGTCTAATCCTAACAAGAGCACTGCTATTTTTATTTTGCCTGAACCTTTTCTAAAGACATGTATCTCAAATTAAGAAAGTTACTCTAGATCAGGTCAAGCAGGGATGTGTTACCTACGTACATATGAGGTCTACAGATTGGCAGAACTCTGACAACACAGAAACTGCTAAAACTAGTTATGCTCATCTGTGTGCTCTTACACAGAACTGGATGTAGCTGGATGAGCTGGTGTAGTTGCAACTACTGGCCTCCCATCACCTTGGGATCCCTCTCAGGAGACTCCTATGATGAGGGAACAAATGGAGAGTTGTAGGGTCCCATGAAAACTGTGGTTGGGAGCAAGTGTGGATAGAACAATCTAATATCATGACTGCAAAATAGCAAGGCAGGAGACTTAGCAAGTGAAGACCCCAGGTTCAGGCCAGGGACAAATACGCATTATAGAGATGTCTAAAGGACTCATCAAGACCTCTGCAGAAGGGAGGAAATAAACTCTTCCACACTCTAGTTGCTGTTTCAACCACTGTTTCCCTTGATCATTTCCACCACCAGATCCGAAGCAGCTTCTCACTACTGCAGCTGTCCTGGCTTCAACACCATTCAGGCTTGCAGTACAGAAAGTGCCATCAAACACCTGGAATTCCATTTTTTAAAACAGTTTTTCCTGTCACTAGCTGCACTGCAGATGTGAGGACAGGCTTGTGCTACAGCTTTGTCAGACAGCAGAATTGCTCATCTGTCTCAACTTACAAGTCATAAAACAGCAGAAAAATTGTGCCAGGGCAGAGTCCTGCCCAGTTGGAATATGTGACACATAAAACTGCAAATGCAAGTGTTTTAGGGGAAGATAGAAGTAATGTTAGGTTAAGCTAGCAGGAATAATCTGTGCATAGGGTACATTTATTCCCAGAAGCACAAAAGGCCTACACACCTATTAAATTAATAGCCAAGTAACTATTGTGATTATTGGACTGCTACCACGTGTGTTTAACTGCAGGGTTCATGCCACTTTGTGCTGTCTTGCCCTGGCACTACAATGTTTTCTGCAGAGTGCTCTCTCCATTCCTCACTGTGATGGGCATACTTTGCAACAACCATGATCTGGCCATATTAGTGTAAAGAATACACAGAAGTGTCACTTATGAAGAAACAAAGTCAGCTTCAACCTTGATTAGGTCATCTTTTGTATTAAAAGGAAAGACACTCAGTGTTAGAAACAGTCTTAGGGATACACGTACCAGGCCAGTATTGAACAACTACTGCACTTACTCTGCGAAATGACACCACGTAGAATGTATCTCCCCTTCTGCGAATAGCTTCAAAAAAATCTTGATAGCTCCTTGGAGAGGCATAATACACTTGCAGCTCATTCCCTGAGTTCCTGCTAAAAAAATAAAGAAGGGAGGAATGTAATTATTTTAGACAAGGAAGTTAACTTCAGTGAAACAATGACTTTAAAGACCTGCTTTTCAAGAGAACAGCAGCTCTTCATCCACTGAAAGAAGCATGAGGAACATTAAACATGAAGACAGTGAAACTACTGGGTATTTTTTGAAAGTTCTGAAAGTTTTGAAAGTTTTAAAGGTGCTTTAAAAGTCTTGCTGCAGGAAACTTTTCCAGGATTGATTTTATTCATGCTTTGAGGCTGGCAAAAACCCTCTTGCTAGCTCAACAGAAGAAAAAAAAAGTTTCAAATCAATCTAAATTGTCTGAAAAATTGTGATGATTTCTGGAAATAAATTTTAGAAGGAAATGTCATTTTGAAATAAAAAACTTTTTTTTTTAATTTTTTTTTTTTTTTTTTTTACTGCTAAAGATCCAAATTGAAAGAAGTGCAAAGTTAAGTATAGACAGAGCTTTTCATTAACTGTCAAGTGACAACCCCACTTTCTCTCACCCCTACCACTTTTTTTTTGCATCTGGTCAATTCAAAGATTTGCTCTTGATTTTCTATTTAGACAGTGGAGCAAAAATAAGATATTCACAGACAGGAAGATAAGATATATCAGACAGCAGGAGGAAAAGGCACTCTATCTAAACTATGCTAAGCAAAACCACCAGGAAATTGTACAATCATGGTACTTATCCACTGTTTATCTTGGAAAGGTGAGAAATTCCCAGCACACATTGCTATCATGTATACTTCCCCAATCCCATTCAAAAAGAACATATTTAATGAAATTGGAAAGATATACTTAAACAAAACCATTATCTGAACCTTCAACCAGTCATTTTAATTCTTTCTCACTTTAATAGCATACTGTCTGTTTGCAGTGTTTGTGGCAAACACACTGATGGGGCTATCCTTCCCAAGCTGTCTTCTGCTGACCCAGATTTTAAAACTATGGTGGTTGGCTCAGATTATTTTGGTATGTTTCTAAAATATATGAAACTATGCACCCAAAACAAGGCACAAATCTATCATCAAGTGATTTTCTTGAGCAGCAGTAATAGTAGACCATCATTATCTCCTCCCTTACTGCTAATATAGTCCTGTTGCAAGGGAAGGACTGCAGCTGCCAAGCCAGTTGCCCTTTAACAGGAGAGGGGGTGTAAGTCCTGGGGGATCAAGAGCAGGCAGCTCTACCCTTTATATGCTCTTTAGCAGAACTATGCAAGCAAGGAATCAGATCACATCCTTCACACACAGGAAACAAAGATCAGAGCTAATTTCAGCTTGATTACTCATTCATAAAAACACGTAGGCCCACCAAACCACCCCTGAGATTCAGCACTGAAGTTTTACTGTGATAAAAGGCATCACGCCCACACAGTGCTCAGTAAAACACATCCTGAAAACTGAAACAGGTCCCACAGATCTGTTTGCTCGCCCACACTGAAGAAGATACAGCTAGACCTTAAAAACAGCCTTTTATAATTCTAAATCCAGGCATGGGAGAAAGTTGTTCCAAAGCATTTGGAAACCACTGGGCCTTTCAAAGCTCTCCTGGGTCCATGGAACAAGTCTATCACCCGTCCCAAATTCCAAGTGATACTGGTATTACACCATACCTACCTTTGGGTATTTAAGAGTACCCACTATGGACTCCTCACTGAAAGGAAGGGAGGAACTTAAGATCTGGAAACAGGTGCAAAGCTACCAGTTGTTTCAGTAATACTTTACTATATTACAAGAAAGTATCATATTAAATTGTGTACATTAAAAGTTCAGTCAAAATCATCTTGATTTTGATCTATTTCCTCTGCTTTGGCTTCACTGCAATAGTTTTCAACAAATTTTCTTTTGAAATCCAGGTATCATCAGTGCTGCAGAGACACATCTAGATCTTGCTAATTTCCTCCTGTTCATGGACTCAAGTCATCAACAAGGGTGCTCTAGAAGGTAAAGGTCACTCAATTTCCAGTCATAGCACTAGTACCAAAAATTAAAAGCCCTGTGGAAGCTGGCAGGGGAGTTGGAACTAGATGATCTTTAAGATCCTTTCCAACCCAAACCATTCTATGATTCTATGACTGTGTACTCCACAAAAAGGCACTTGAATCATTACTAAAAGTTTCAGGGCCATCTACAAACATTAACATTACATATCAGGAAACCTAAAAGTGGTTTAGTTTTTGGTTTTACACGTTTGCAGAGACAATGCTAGTTCATTACCAGTTCTCCACAGGCAATGCCTCAGGGGTAGCACCAATGACAAAACTGAATGAACAGCACCTTTTCTGTCTGCCCAGTCAATGAGGCACAGCGCTGCAGAAAGGATCTAGGTGCTGGTAGGCAAGCTGAATGCAAGCCAGCAGAGCATCATGGGGGCAACTGCGTACTGGGCTGTGTTACAGACAGGGCCTGGAGTGCAGGATGTACAAGGAGAGACAGGAGACAGAGGGAACTGGGCTGGTTCAGCCTGGAGAAGAGGAGGCTGAGGGGCTCTCAGTGCAATCCCCAACTTCCTAATGGGAGTTACAAAAGGAGTCTTCTCTGACAGAGACACAGAGAAAACCTGAAGTAAAACCTACTTTGAGTAGGAGATTGGACTACAGATCTTCAGAGGTCCTTTACAACCTAAGCTATCCTGTGATTCTATGATTTCATGGAGCATTTAATAGCTGATGGCTCTGGGAGCAACTGGAAGTCTGTTCTATGTTCTTAGCAGTTCCAGGACAGTCACAGCATGCAGCTGCCATGACTCACTGGTCTTGTTCATTTAAACATCATTCATTTGAAAAAAAACTTACTTCCTTCTGAGTGCAATAGATTATTCCACACAGAACTGCATGATGTTGCAGACTGTTTCCAATAATCCAGATTTTTTCTTTTTAAGAGCAATGCAGGTATGTATATTAAACTGCCTTATGCCATGAGGCTTGTTCATCCAGTCTTCAGTCAAAACAGACATCCTTAAACTGCCTGTAGAACTAAAAAAGCTTTTTCTTTTTCTTCTTATTAGTCAAGACATATCAAAATTTGTCAGCCAGGTTTCCCTAACATTTGCCTGCAGCTTGCTGTTTTCTTCCTGGCTCACCCTGCATTTAAAGCAGCAATGCAAATGGTGGAAGGGTCACAGCTGCCTTACTTTCAATGTCAACATTTCAGGTGTTCTTCTCAACAAAATGTCCACTTTATACTCCATTCTGCTTACTCCTCTTGTCACTACAAAGCAGAGAACCTTTTAAACACTGACACAGAGAATTCAGGAGAGACAATTTTTGTTTCCTTAAGCTTTCCTCTCCAGTTCTTCCTGTCCCCAGGGAAGAGGGACAGGATACGTAGGTATACAGGATGGCAGGGCAGGGGGAATCAGGACACTGGGTTATTATCTTCTAATCATCATCAGGGAAAATCAGGAGATGGAGACAAACCATGCAAGTAAGATGTAATGATACTTTAACTTTGTCAAAAGAATTTGGCAATAGCTGTAATGGCTCTACTCTTGAAGACAGTGAGAGAAACCTTTCTCTTACCAGACTCTTTGAAACTTTCTTATGAACTACTGATGTTCCTCCCGATATTCCCAAGACAATGTCTCCTTTTTTTATTCCCTAAAGATTCAAATCTGTTTAGGAAGGGACTCTGTAGAGTGATGTAAAGGTTTTCTTAACACTTATTGGTAGAAAGCCCCAGAGGAGTGGAGCTGTAATACAGGAGTTTATTTAAATGTAGTTTGGATCATTAGAAGCAGTTATTTGCTAAGGGACAGAAATCAGGCCAATAAATGTAGCTAGCACCTGGCTTGAAAATCCTGACAATAAGGTGGAAACTGGCATTTTCTACCAGCTGTTGGTAAAAAAAAATAGATTATTAAGTAGAAAGCAGTAAAAGCAGCTGTTCTGCCTTACCTGAGGCGGGTGTCTGTGTAAGGCATGGCCATTAGCTGGGAATATGCCTTCTCACTGAGGGAGCTCTGGAGAAAAGGGGAAAACAACAGGATGACACAAAGTGAAAACAGTAAGCATTTCCTTGGTTTGGCACTACATAAAACATGATGCATATCTGTAGCAGAGAGTGAATATATAAAGGGGTGCAGAGGTTAATCAGTGCCCTGAACGTTAAACGTAGGTTTTCCCACTGGTGAAACATGAGTGACTGAAATGACCAGCAATCAATCTGGAAACACAAAAACCACAAGTGTTTTGACACAGACAAATTTGAAGCCACATATTCAGAGACACAGAAGGAAAGTTGGCACCATACACAGTACTTGCACATACTGTGTCATCCAAGTGCAAAATTTGCTATCAGTGATGTCAGATTTGCAGAGTTCTTCTGAGGTCACATCCACTTTCTACCACTGTCAAAATATACTACCCACAACACATGCCTGGCGTTTGAAACACTAGAGGCACCTGAACTTTCCCTGCTTAAATGTTCTACCATTCTCCTTTGGACACCAGTGAGAAGAATCTGAAGTTTAGAACACAATAATTTTTCTCTAGAAAAGCATAGTATTTCCCACATCATTAAGTTCAATTCCTTTTAAGGCTGTTACTAGCTCTTAATCAAATGACACACTTTGAAAATGCATGGTCTAATTTCATCCTCGCCATTGGTATGCCATGTAGATAAAAGTGATTTTAAAAAATGGGAAATATGAACACTAATCTCATAATTTGGTAGTCCTTACCAAAAAAGCAGCCCTCTAGCAAAAATCTGAAAAAATGAAATAGAAATATTACAACAAAACCAGTCAGCCGTACCCCTTAACCGTGAGCCAGATGAATGAGCTGTAGGTTATATTTCTCTCCATTAACTCTTTATCCTTATCCTTACACAGACTTACACAGAAGTCACAAAAGCAATTTTAGAAAACACAGAACACATTTGATGACTGCTAAAAAATGTAAAACCTTTAGAGCCTGAATCCAAGAGC